ATATTTATTTATTTATTTTTTAAGCTTATTTTGATTTTCAATGAATAGTCTAGATTTTTCGCTTAGACTGCGAAGTTTTTTTTTTTGTTTTCCTTTAATATGTCGACTGCAAAGTTGTAAAATATGTAATTTGTTTATTGCTCGATATAAGCCCGATATAAACCCGAAGCCCGAAAAAATGCGTGAGCCGAGTTTGAGCCTATAGGCATGAGGCCCGATGGTATTTGAGCTTGAGCCTATAATAATGAGGCCCGATGGTATATGAGCTTGAGCCGACCCAAGCTCGGCTCACACGGCCCGATTGCCAGCCCTATATATATATATATATATATATATATATATATATATATATATATATTTTTTTTTATTTCTTTTATTTTTTTAATTTTCAAAACAATATGTTAACTGTACTGAAAATAACTACATGTAACTATAGTACCTATAGTAATTCGTAGTTATGTTTGTTTTTTACTTCATATTTTTAGTCGATCAATTGTATACACACACGAATACTGGGTTATACAAAAGAAATTCATAAACCCCAACAAAAATCTACAAATTTCAAAATTTTTATTATAAATCACCTCAGAACCAATAAATTACAAAAAAAAAATACACAAATATATGTATATGTAACTACATGTTACTATATGTATAGTAATATATAGTAATGTATACAGTTTGTTGAACACTGTTTCACATGTAACTTCAACCATATATTTGACACCTTCAAGGAGAGGATCAATGGCTTTCATTAAGCTGCAATTGCAAAATCAAAACAAAAAAAAATAATTATTTAGTGCAAATCAACAAAATTTGAAGAAACATCAGAACACTCAAAAATCAACAAACACTAAGAGATCGAGAAATAGAGAGAGAGGTTATTGCTGGGAAATGTTACAGATTTTAAATCAAACAGACAGGGACTCCTCACCCCTCTCGCTTCCTACCAAAACCCTAGCCGCCACTAATAACCACCCGCGGTTCCGCGCGCCCACAAATGCAAAACAAATATAGAAATAAAACTGAAAACATAAAATTAAACGAAATTACCATCAAAATATAGATCTCGACGAGAGGAATCCAACGGTGGGTAGCCCGTCAAATTTTGACTTGTGGAACACAAAATACACCTCCGGCAAGACCACGTCGTCGAATGA